ATGTTGAAAGTTTTGATATTTGCTATTGTTTGAACTTTGGTAAATATATCGATACCATCTATGGAAACCGTATATTTCCATTTCCCAGTCCTACCAGCAGTTTTAACAGCTACAAGACTTTTCTTGGAATGTCAAAGTCATTAATTAACGTTTGTTTTATATTCGCGTCGTATGACGTATCACTAACGCCAGGCGTTCATGCGTATATGAAATTCGATACACTTGGTAATGTACATCAAAGTGGAAACAAATAGTACTAAAACAATGTAATAGTTTCAAAAGTGTAATTTTCGTCAGACTCTTGCCAGTGTAAAATACGAAGTACCAAATATTTCCATTTACTTCAGTCCTTAAAGAATCATATAAAAATCTATTACATTTATTGAGGAAGTTACAGAAGGAATTGATTTAATGTAGTTGGAGGAGTCCTAACTCTCCTCACGTCAGAAAATGGCGTTTCTCTTGTATCAAATATAAACCATATTATCTAATTTTCAGTAATATAATGCTAGTTTATTCCCTCTGAAACATGCTAAGCTTGACTAACGGTTTTTTGCATCATCGGAATTTTCGGCCTTATCTGTCACTAGCGTAATCCTATTTTCTATGTTCATTCTATTATGTAGCATCTAATTCTGAGTGGCAGTGAATGAAACATTTCCACGTTTTTTAGGAACTATTCCATTTCTCAGCTTTCTGTGAAGAGTTATTCTGAGTTTTTAGGATATAAAAAGATGTTGACTGTCTTCTGAAATATGCAGAGTATGCTTTGATGATAGAATATGATCTGTTGAGTAATTATTTTCCAACGCACGTTCTATTCTGTATCGTTACACTACATGTCACTCTTCCACCAAGTTAAACCATAACTTTTTAAAGTTATAGTTTAAATCACAACGTTCGTCAGTACAACTATGTTGGTCACGTGATTAGTACTCGTGATTTTTTTTGGCAACAGTTTCGTCTTCCAGCGACGTAGCACAGCTTTTTTATCAAGATTTAGTCATGATTTTACAGTCTACAATCTACATTTTCTCTAGTTGTGTTTACATCACCACTCATGTGTAACTGTGTAATACACACAGATAACTTATCAGTGGTAAGCTTATCTGTCAGTATCTGTTATCTGTGCGTGATGTGAGAGCAGGCTTTTAATGTTGATGTTGTTCACAGAAAGTACTAAGTTATACATCTCGGTTGCTTAATTTTATTGATGTTAATTTTAATGTTATTTTCAATGCACTTAAGAATTACTCGTGATATTTTTATCAACAGTCGTTTCCTCCAGCTATAATGAATTTAATTGATGCTATTTTTTAAGAACTTAAGAAACCAAAAAAGTCTGAGAAAATAGTGGTTTGTCTCGTTTGTCTCAAGTTTAGTTCATATTAGGAAGCTTGATGATCATCAACATGGCAAGCTTCTAGATTGTCGTTATTTCCTCCATTTTGTTCCTGCATTTGTATCAGCAGGTCCGCGGTAGTGATGAACTTGATGTCACATCTTTACCCTCTAAAATAAAATGTAGACAAAGACCTAACAATTATATCATCTTAACCATGAAGTAATTTGGGTAACATAACCGGCGGGCCGGTACGATAAGTGCTACCTACAAACCTATACGTCCCTGGTAACCTAGCATTAGTAGGTACACTATAGTAATTGTACTAAAAGTGTGTAGTATAATGTGTACATTACTCAACGTTTTGTTTCACCCTGGTCTTATTCTTGGGTACAAACCAGTATTTTTCAATCGCGGTCATACTTACATACATTTCTTCATTTCTTCATTCTTCATTTCTTCATTCTGACTGTCGCTGTGGCCAACTTCGGTTTCGATGATATTGGTTATTTGGGTGATTCGAGGTTCAAACGTCAGTTTTGTGTCACTCCAAATATTGTATTTTCTAACGTTGATAATTTTCGTAAGCGTGATTTTTTGATCATCCACTCTGACCTTTCTTGGAAAATTGTATACTTTAATATAGAGTGTCATGCAGTCCAATGGACATCACCATACGCCACTTATAATGGATCTCTCTTTCTTGGCAATCAAGTATAATCAACATAAATCCTCAACTCAGTATATTAAAGCTTGCTTATCAGCGCCACCGTCATTTCGATCAATGAGAAGGCTGCTTTAGTATCACATGACACGTGGTGTCCAATGAGAGTACGGTGTGTGGTGTTCATATCAGTATTTTTAGAATATTATCAGATTACTGCGAGTGATCAATGATTTACCTTAGCGCAAATTTAAGCTTGCTTACCTAACTTGAGTTTGTCTCTACTTGTTATCGAACATTTATTGAAGTAATCTGTGCTTAAATCTTGTGATTAGTTACTCACATTTGATTAACTCAAGGAAAATATAACTTGTGTCTTTCTTTGATCACTTTATTGTAATGATATTTTGTGGAATTGTGGCTGGCTTGTGTGGCTGTCAAAGGAAATGCCAGCTCCAAGCTGTTCTTCAGAACGTACAAAAAAGTTAACTCTGTCGCCTGTTTGACTTGATCGATCTTAAATTTGAACTCAACTAGTTTGGGTAGTTTGTCGATCTGTCTATTTCTGAGGAGAATTAGTCTTGCAGTCTTGTTATCTTGTGTGAATTAGTCTTACAATTTGTATGATTTTTATCGGGAAGTCATCCACCGTTATATGACAGTCGTCACTGTGGTTACTATTCAGCTAACGCTAGTCTATTATTCCAATACTTATGTTAAATAAATTGTACGTGGATTTTGAGCATGTTCGTTTGATATTTGATAAACTGGCCGAAACTTCTAGAATTTGCTTCTAAATGTTATTAAAAGTTAAAACCTATTTCATTACATTTACAAACTTGGAACTTTAAAAATAAAGAGATAAGATTTATCATGCTGCAGTTTAAATTCGCCTTCTTTAATTAGCTTACTGAGTATGTTCCTGGTGCGCTTGCAAATTTTGTTTCCGCAAAAAATATTGTGCTTTTTAGTTTGTACCATCTTCATTCATGTTTTTTGTGTCAACAGGTCTGAATTCTGTACCTTACGACCCGAAGGCGGGAGATCTTCGTGATTCGCTTTTTTTCCGAGAAAGTTTAATTTACGCCATTTTGCCAAATTCCACAAAATGTATGTTAAAAATGGAAATAATCCAAAGTAAAGTATTTCCTCCTCCGAATCCAGGATATGTTGTATCTCTTCCTCGGTCTCTTCCTTCCCTCTGTTGCCTTCCTCCTCTTCATCTACAACTGGACTCGACCTTCCGAATCACAGGAACCTAAATTAGGAAGCTCGTCACGTGATGGTGAAACGTCACGTGAAGCTAAACGAATCGTCAGGCACTCGACTGAAAATGACAATAAGAGACAGAAGACAGATGATGATCAAAATGAGACGTCATTAGTCCAGAAAATGAGTTTATCTGTTGAAGAAAATGAAGAGTCAGCAGATAGTTTGACTCCGTCAGCACCTGCAGAATGTGTGCCTCCACCTGCAGAATGTGTGCCTCCACCTGCAGAATGTGTGCCTTCACCTGCAGAATGTGTGACTTCACCTGCAGAATGTGTGTCAGCACCTGCAGAATGTGTGCCTTCACCTGCAGAATTTGTGTCAGCACCTGCAGAATGTGTGTCAGCACCTGCAGAATATGTGCCTTCACCTGCAGAATGTGTGCCTTCACCTGCAGAATGTGTGCCTTCACCTGCAGAATGTGTGCCTTCACCTGCAGAATGTGTGCCTCCACCTGCAGAATGTGTGCCTTCACCTGCAGAATGTGTGCCTCCACCTGCAGAATGTGTGCCTTCACCTGCAGAATGTGTGCCTTCACCGGCAGAATGTGTGCCTCCACCTGCAGAATGTGTGTCTTCACCGGCAGAATGTGTGCCTCCACCTGCAGAATGTGTGCCTTCACCTGCAGAATGTGTGCCTCCACCTGCAGAATGTGTGCCTTCATCTGCAGAATGTGTGCCTTCATCTGCAGAATTCATGCCCTCACCTACAGAATATGTGCCTTCACCTGATATTGATATTATCCAGAAGAATGAACAACCTGTTACTTCCCTGGAAACCACCCTATCAAGTCCACCAGATTCTATTGTATTTCCCCCTAGCGAACACTCTCTAACCACATCCCAGCCACCTGCTACTGGTTCACTTGAAAATAAAGATTCAGTATTGCCCTCAATCAGTCCCACCCTGGAGATCGATGGTTAGTATTACATCACTGCGTCAAATTTTAAATAAGAAATGATTTCTTAATTTCACAAAGCTCAAATCACAATCAGCAATATATCCATATCTGGGCATATCTGTTATTCCGACTGATTATTGTTACCGTATAACTGCTCTGAGAGACAATGAATTGATGAACTCCGCGATGGATATCCCCGTTATGGTTATGGTTATGGTTAACGAGGGTTGTAGGGAGGGTTTGTGGGGTTATGACGTAAGCAAAGGTTAACAGGGTACTTGGTGCACTCAAGGAAGGAAAGCGAGGGCCCCTATATACTAATGTTCTAATGTGAGGGCCCCTAATGGACAACTAAAGTAAGAGCCCCTAATGTTTAATATTATGGTAAAGTTGGCTGTTGTGGCAAAGTATTACGTTATATTGTTGGTTAGTATTTTCTCATCCGTGCCGCATATTCGTTCCTCCTAATGTTGTGTTGCGCTATCGGGGGTTATCACACCTTTAGTGCAGGTCAGATATGTGAAAATACATATTTATACAATAAACATACATAATATATACATAATATATAATGATATAAAGTATGTACACGCGAGTACAAAGTATACCTGGGAATTATGAAACATCCTGTACATGCTTATCTACCTAACCTCTATGAAAAGAAAACGTTAAATTGTTTCATCGATAAATCGAAGCTTTATCTCAAAGCAGTTATCGACAAATCAAGACTTGTCAATAATCTATCAAATATTGCAGTTGTCGACAATAAATCATCCTTGGCAGATTATCATATCACCAGATACTGTTACAGTTAACTATTTCAGGTTTATCAGAAATTCGACCTGCTCATGCTGAGGATGTATCATTGAACGCGGTGAACGTACGGAACTCGCTGATACAGGACGTGAATAAGGAACTCATCGATAAAACTGTAACTAAGGAGAAGAAAAAGTCGCTATTAAAGGAGGTTCGTTAGTTCAATGTTCATTGTTCGGTCACCCCAACTATCACATCTGGGGGGGGGGGGGGGGGGGGGGGGGGGGGGGGGGGGGGGGTAATGGTGAAAAATGGTGAAATTTGCAAATTCTGGGACCCGATTCACCATAACAATTTTTCACCATTGCCACCCCCCCCTGTCACCTCCAGACATTACGTCAGAGCAGGGCTTGTCATAATTTACTAAAATCTTAAAATATTAGATCATGGAACAATTAGCTTGTTAAGCAGTGAGCAATGTTGGCATGTATGAGAGATGTTCAGTGTTAAGCGAACATTACCTCATGCTCAATACCCCTGTAATGATCATCCCACTGGTATCAGGTTGAAGCGCGAGGTGAGCAGAAAGAAAACAAGACGGTCCTCCTGGCAGAGCTGGGGAAACTTGGGAAACTTAAAGATAGCGTGATTGGTAACCGCTTATTTGTATTTCAATTATCTATATTTAACTTTAGCGCAGTAATTTAACCTCTTATACTGAGGGTGGGGGATATGACCACTCTTAGTTCCGCCAGGGTGGTCCATTTCCAGATCAACTTATCTTAGCATTAGTTCTAGCCGTCCTATTAATTAAACTTAAATTTGTCTAATTTATGCCAAAAAACCCAAGTCTGCCATTTGGGCATCAAGAGTAGCCCGTGTAGTAACAAGCCATCAACTTTTAGTTTGGAGCGCACTCCTGTCTTTTAACTATTAGTTGATATTATAGTGGTATTGGTAACATGGAACTGGCCCTTCTGGGAACCTTGTAATGTCAGACATGACAGAAATTTCGTGCAACTTGACTTTGACACGTGATATAACGTTATGTCGTCATAGCAATTTAGCATAACCTATATTATCACACTTTCGAGCCAAATTTAGCAGGAAAGCAGAATTGATATTACATGCCCCGATGGGGAGCACTGGCTCTCACCCGGGGGCATGAAATATCAATCAGTTACTCAGAGAGATCCCGATATTCCCATAGGAACAAGGAGCCCACTCTCAACAACTGTTCTACTACTGCGAGGTACTGATTTAAATAAAGATTTAAATCAACAACCTGAAGTAGTCTATGACCGTTAATGCAATGATCGGGTAAACTTTCCAGGATAAGGAAAAATTTAAATTTATACCTGGTTTTGAAAATATTTCCTTGTGTTTGAGATGCGTCAAGCAAAATAAAATTTTTTGTTGTAAAACTTTTTCAAGCTGTTCCCTTTTTATTGCACTTTATAGTTCAAAGCCTAATTAGGCTTCGGATGATGAAACAAAGTAAAAACTCCCTGGCTTGTACGAGCTTTAAGTGACTTAAGGTTATTGAAAACGAGATCAAAGTTTACAAGCAGACTTGAAAGTTTCACAAAGTTTTGGTACTTGTCAGCGATACAATCAATCAGGATAATTAATTTCCTTAATCGCTTACTCGAAATTAAAAAGGAAGTGTCAGAACAAACTACAGTCACCCTCACAAAAAATAGTAAACACTAGACGATGTTTGATTAATTCGAACGAAGAAAACACACAAAACAAAGCCAGATTTCAGCCATTTCAGACCTCAATTTTAACCCCCTCTGATCCCTTCTTTGAGCCATATTCCATATAGAAATTGTGCAGAAATTATACTTGGCTTTTCCAAACCGGTTTCGCCTAGATTAGCTTGCGAAATTCGTGGCTGATCTATAAACAGACTGATAAAGATTAAAGAGACTTATATGTAGATTCTGTACAATAAAGAGCGGAAATTCTATGCCAGGACTAGTTTTAACTGAATTTTAGTTAGTGCAAATAAGTGCAATAAAAACATCCTATAAAATATATTATTTATATAAATATATCAAGGGACGAATGACGTAACTTAATCAGCTAATCTGGTTATAAATTAGTCTGGGCACTGTGGCAAACAGGTCCGATGATTAATGTGCTGCCATTCATTAGACCAATTCAATATTGGTAACAGTACGGGTGAACTACCTGGCCATGACCAGGGTGGTTATAGGCTGGTGGAGTACTGCGTTCTAAAATGTTGAAGAGATACATTTGAATATTACAAATGTTCTGATAATTTCCAGTTCAGATAATTTCTAGCTCGAAGCAGATAATGGCAAATAATGGCAAGTAAAGATGAATACTGACTAAGAACTAAGCAGAATACTTGATAAAATTCTAAGTCAACGATTACAAGTTGCATTGATTAAATCATTCTGAAATAACAGACAATCAAGAATCAAGACGGACGATAATATTGTTGATGTAAATTAGGGAGTGTAGTGTATAATGTGGACTGATAAATAGACACTAATTATGACCCCACAGCTCTATTCAAATACAAGAACCAGGAAATTCTTTCACCTTATCGCAGATACAGATTATACGATAAGGACTGTGATGTATAATGAACACTTAAACGGATGTTCTATACATTATACTGCATCTACAGTTTTAATGACTCTAAAAATATCTAATAGAAATAAAGTATTAGAATCACCTCACATCAATTGATTTGCAGGATGTAATTACGTATCAAACGCGCTCGCGGCGGAATATTCTAGACACATAAGTACAAGACCCATAGGCGGAAAACACATTAATATCGCATGCACTACGTATCAATAGAAAGCAAATTGGGCGCGGCATACAGCATTCACTGTGTCGATATCTGAAATACTAACTTATCGAGAGCTATATATAGCTTGGACATTATAAACATAAATAAGTTCGACATGTCTAGTTTTGCTTTGGTGAGATTTATAACTAACGTTTGATCAAATTCTGCTTTCCCGGCCAAATTTGGCTCCAAAGAAAGTGTGATAAAACATTAATCACATGCCTTCTCATGCGATATCAACATTTTCAAAACTCGGCAAGCCTCGTGATTGAAAATGTCGATATAACCCTCGGCAAGCCTCGGGAAATATCGAAACTTTCGCTAACTCGGCAAGCCTCGTGGGCGAAAGTTTTGATATCGCATGAGAAGGCATGTGATAAATGTATAATAATCAGTTACGTGCGAGCATCGTCGCACCTTCTAAACGATCCATCTTTATCAAATGAGAAACTAGATAACTTTATAGGTGAAATTTCGCTGTTCAAGAAGGTGATGGTGACACTGGTAGGTTGGATGCGCAACTAATTAATTTACAGGATATCTTGGTTAGAGAGTCTCCAAAACCTAATGCTAAAATCGATTTTATGACAGCGCCGGAGAGGGATTTTCTTTAACCAATGCATGCAGAGTATTACTCACTATTAGTGACATGATAGTCTGCCTTCAACACTTCATGCCGCGCACTCCGTCAAGTTGAACACGGATATAGGTGTAGACATACACACAGTGACTTGTAACTTTGTAAGGAGTAAGAATGTGGTATTGTTTCTTGCGAAGATTAACTTCTACACCTACTGCTCAGTAGGCAAGACCATTATTAGTTATAGCAGTTCACAATTTTATCTATCAGTTATAACTGATAAACTACTATAAATAGTAGTTCACGAATTTATCTGTATTTTGTTGCAGGTGACGAGAATGTAAACCTGGCTAATGTCCACGTGGAGAAGAAGAAAAAGGACGCTGCAATGAGCGAGATCGCACTTATCGGTAATTTAAATTAATTGTAATTATCGGTAATTTAAACAGCTTATTAATTGTAACTTGAATTTCGGGTCAAGAAGTTATACTTGCTTGCTTGAAATTGTAAATACGTCTTTTCATTATCAACCACTACACAAGAATAAGTTTTTCCCCCTTCACTCCAATACGGAAGATCAGGATGTCATAACATTGGTGTCCTCCCGGGATTCGAGATGTAACGGGATTATTAAAAATTACAGACTCATATGATTCACCTCAAACAATAATATCCACATTCGTTCTTGGATGCAAAAAGAACTACAAGAATCTTGTATTGATGATATCCGCGAGGGCAGAATCTACTATATAAGTGGTTAGACTTCAAGTAGGACATGTAGGATGGATATTTAATATCATGATATATTCCTACTTATTCCCATATAAAGCATGGAAACAGGACCCGAGGAGATAAGCTGCACAATCATACACGCCCACGTAGCATCCGGTTGTAGAAGATGTCGAGACTGCTTATACTGTATAATCATATGAGTGATTATGTTATCAGTTATTAAGTTATTTCAAGATGACATAGTTAAATATGTTACCGCGGTGGCCGAAACAACTATTTGAAATTAATATGTAGATTATGACACACACACTGAATTTTGAATGGAAAACGAAATTTCGACTAGTAATTACCTGATTTTCAACATGAACTTTGATATTCATATTAGAAGGTTTTCAATTTACTGGTGAGGTAGATAAGTTTTATATGATTAGATGTCTGCTCTGTATACCAGTAACCCGGAACTGCAGTTGCAGGAGTTTCTATCGCCACAAAATGCTTTTAGATTTTTAACTGTTCAGGAAGGAGTTGAGGTATGATTATCTTTGGTGAATGAATGTTTAGTCCAAGACTTCGACGAGTCCAACTCGGCGCGCGTCTTGGTAGGTTACAAACGTATCACATCTTCAGGAGAGGTCACGAAACTAACTATCAAGGACATATCTTTACCATTAGATGTTTACATTAGACCCTCGCGTATCGGCGTATAAGTCGCTTCTCGTTGATTTAGTATCCTACCACTCTCATCACAGCTCACATCATTCCTATATCTTAAATATTTTTGGGCTTGCGTTACACGAACCCTCACCTAATGTTGGTAATCTTACTAACCAGGACGTAGCAAGTAATATTTAATATGAACCCTCACTCTGAACTAATATTAATTATCTTACTAACCAGGACGTAGCAAGGAGATGAAGGAAACAGTCCAGCGGGAACTGACGACCATATCACACATGAGGGATGCTAAAGCTGGGGCAATGCAGGAGATTAGAGACAGGATTGATACTAAAGACAAGAAGAAGGTCGTCATGGATGTAAGTTTCTTATGATTCTTATGATTAATAATATTAATTAGAAGGATCGATCAATACTATTAATACTATCGATTATCGATAATACTATTATCAATAGTATTGTCAATGAGGTGAGTTTATCATTATTATCGTGTTGTCATGGAGGTGAATTCCTCATCAACTTGCTGTAATGAAATGTATATATATATTATGTTCCTTGTTTAATGTTCGCCAATATCTTTCCAGGATATCAGTAAGATGAAGGTAGTAAAAGACGCCAGGATGGGTGTTCTCAATGATATACACAAAATTGGCAGTATCAACGCAACGGTAAGATCTTGTTGCCATTTAAAAACTTTGGAGTAGATCCAAAAATAGATTTAGCCAATACACTTAAAAACCAATCCAATCATAATCATACCACTAATTTTAATCAATTCTACGGTCAAAAATATCCTTTAGTAAGGTATGTTATCAACCGCCAATTCTAAATCGTTCCACTATAAATACTTCCTTTTCTCCTTCAATCTGCAGTGTCTTTATCTCAGGTATTTTCGAGTGGGAAGGTATGCGAACCCCTTCCTAAAGTCTATTCCGGTAAGTCAATGCTATTCTGGTAAGTTAATGCCCTATAATATATAAAATTGCTAAATACAGCAAAAACCCCCGAAATACAGAAAAAATTAAAAATACAGTAAAACCCCAAATTACCACACCCCATTTAACGCAAACCCGGCCGATTTACCGCAGCCATTTCTTTTCCCGATCAATGGGGATTAACATACATAATGTGAACAACAAAAAACCCCAATTTAACGCGGCTGTTTCCCGGTTCCCCAGACTCTAAATCGGGGTTTACTGTAACTGCTTTACTAGTGGTCTGTCTGAGTTTCATATTTCACATATATATAAGTTAAAGAACCACTCCAAACCACTTCAAGAGAATCAGTTTTGAAGATTGGTAAAATTTTGGTTAAACTGGATACAAGTACAAAAGAACCTTTACTTCAAGTATGTAGTATACACTATACACTATACACTATACACTATACACTATACACTATACACTATACACTATACACTATAGACTATACTATACACTATACACTATACACTATACACTATACACTATACACTATACACTATACACTAAACATACTTTGTGAAAAATTATTATCTTTCAGACGCTCAAATACTGAGTAGAATTACTTCTGCTATAAACTTCTGGGTATAAATAACGTTATTTCCCACCATATAATGTCTGGTGATATAAATAAATAAATTTCTGGTTATTACCCAGAACTAAAATATAATCAGTCTAGCATTAAAACTCTCGCTACGACTATGAGGAAACAATTTTTGCAGTCGAGCTGCTTCAGCCATTTCCTGAAGCGATTAAGCATTTAAGATCATTAAATGGGTTGCAGAATGCAGTACTGGTTTGCAAGTTGCAACCTATAATTTGTGGTTAACTACATTTAACGATTAAAGGGAATTTTAAATTTGAAAGAAGCGACATATTTCATCTAATGATGGGAACAGTATTTGGTATAATATAACTTGGAAACAGCGTATAAATCACCAGAGAAATGAAATATCAGCTTAAGACGATTAACATATATTTGTTAAAGGTTCCTGCTGCTACTCATATGTTTCAAGAACTTACAAGTTAATATTCTGTTCATTAGACTATTAGTGCAACTACTAGAGCACTGTAAAATCCGGATTAGAATATTATTTATGAGTCGCATAGTTGAAATGTTTTCTTTGGTAAATTTCTATTGATAAATACGATGTTGTGACATTGAAACGTTGAATAATTCCTTTCATGATAAGAGCCTTTTCCTTGTCGCATCAAACGGGATCAATAGAAATTTACCCAAGAAAACACTAGAGCACTGTTATCAACATTCTCCCAATAATACTCAAATATTAAAACATATTTTTGGAAAGAATAGGAATTGCTAAAATCAAGGGTTCTATGAGGCAGGGGTGCTTTTGGTTGCAAAATTAGGAACCTGGAAAGATCGCACGCTCTGATAATTCTTATAACGCAGTAGTCTCTAAAAAATGTGTTTCTACAGCGAAACGCGAAGTTTTGCTAATACTGCAGTTAAGTTTTCCAAATTGTCCCACTTTCAAACGAGGATTTGGCACCCCCCCCCCCCCCCCTTAAGATGGCACCCCCGGCCCACCCCCCCCCCCCCCCTAAGATGGCACCTCCCCCCCCCCCCCCCGCTCTTCGTTACGCCACTGCAACTCAGGTCAGCTGAGTGTTATTTCGGAGATCAACGAGAGAGGACAGAGAAAGGAGGCTAAAATGGAGGCACTTAAAGAGCTTGTTATCAAACATGATACTAAAAGTAACAAAGGTATGTTTGTTTAAAATTAGTACTTTTTATCCCCAGACTCATGGAATACGTTTGCGGACAAAAGTAACAAAGTCTTACGTTATATTATTAAGCGTGGTTATTGGGCCTGGAACAACTAATATTGTTTCAGCTGCCGCCATGTCAGAACTGAAGGGCATCTCTGCAAGCAAGTCCGCGAAAGAAGCTGCAATGCAGGAGATCAAAGACAGAGAGACGACCAAAGATGTGAAGGGAGCAGCCATGGCTGAGCTCAAGAAAGTAGCTGATATTAAGGAGAAGGTTGGAGCTCCTGACCTGCCCATTGGGGCGGCGGAAAAGGTAGATTATATTTCCTTGTAATCTCTTATTAACTCTGTAGATCTGTTGTGTCCAATTGTCTGTAAGTTTCTGGTTGTTTTTATCATGCTAAATTAACGATACTAGAGCGAGGATGATGATCAAAGCGAAATATTAGTAAGTAGTGTGAGACTAATCGCATTTTGTCAGCTCTTTTTATTCTGTTTCTCTCACAAAATGATATTTTACCTTGAGATTTTAGTTTGTTTTTCCTTTAAATATGAAGATTTAAATTGTAGCATTTTTTCTCACAAAATGATTTTTTACCTTGAGATTTCATTTTGCTGGTTTGTTTTTACTTCAAATATTAAAATTGAAATTGCAGCATTTTCTCTCACAAAATGATGGTTACCTTTAGATTTCAGTTTGCTGGTTTGTTTTTTCCTCCAAAATGTAAAATTAAAAGATTTAAATTGTAGCATTTTTGTACTTATAAACAGTAAGTATGTTTAATATTTGGAGAACCGATTACAGATAAACTCGCTTGATCGTTGGATTGTAATTTTCTCTGAAAATGCACCAAATTATTTGATAGCATGATTTTTGAGAAAATTATTGTTTCGCACCTGACTGCTTGTCAGAAGTGCGTTGTTCAGTCACTCAGTGATTTTCCTGATTTCTTAAAGTTTTGATTTATTTTTCCTGCCAGGCAATCGCAGTGAAAAGCAAGGCAATGAAGGACATCAATACTATTGGTACGTCAATTCTATTAGCTGATAATAATAATTAATATAACGTTAATAATGATGCCTACCAAACCATTCTATCGAAAACGCAACCTAAAAAACTTGAAATTTAAAGAGAAATAGCGTATATTTTTTTACGCATTTATGATTTAACAAAAGCACGTACTTCACAACATTGCCGTTAGGTATACAGAAGGATACGAAGAGCCAGGCTCTGAAAGAGATGCTGACAATTTCCTCTACTAAAGATACCAAGGAGAGGGTGGTCGGGGAGATCAGTCAGATTGGACAGGTAACATTTTGACACATTTTGACACATTTTGACACATTTTGACACATTTTGAAATATTTTGACACATTTTGACACATTTTGACACATTTTGAAACATTTTGACACATTTTGAAATATTTTGACACATTTTGACACATTTTGACACATTTTGAAATATTTTGACACATTTTGACACATTTTGAAATATTTTGACACATTTTGACACATTTTGACACATTTTGACACATTTTGAAATATTTTGACACATTTTGACACATTTTGACACATTTTGACACATTTTGACACATTTTGAAACATTTTGACACATTTTGACACATTTTGAAATATTTTGACACATTTTGACACATTTTGACACATTTTGACACATTTTGAAATATTTTGACACATTTTGACACATTTTGACACATTTTGACACATTTTGACATTCCTGTTGTAAGATGGCATGTGTTGCTATCACGTACACATCAGATTAAACACTTGAACTAAGTTTAGTTTTATTTTTATCATCTATACTATTTCACTGGATCCTGTTGTTAAATTCGTTTGAGTCTGGGTTTACCACAGCACAAGCTACCGCTGAATTAAGGAAATAGGAAGAACATATTTTATTGTAAATGGGACTCCTGTTAACAATCAAATATTCTCCTTTCAATTCAGCGGTAGCTTATGTGGTAAACTGGTAGCTTATGTGGTAAACTTAATGTGGTAAACTGGTAGCTTATGTGGTAAACTGGAACTCAAATGAAATATTTGAAGTCAGTGTGGCCAGGAAATATACCGTTAGTGTACTATTCTATAGTAACTATATAGTAACTATATAGTAACTATTGTTCTACATCCCCTCATTAAACCGCCCTCTAAGTCTAACCTATTGTTCTAAACTTCAGGTTTAGCTTAAACCTCTCTCATCTAGACATTGTAAACACAGTTACTCTTCTTCATTTGTTTTATTGAAGTTCAGTCTACTTCGTTGTACTGCCACGCGCCTCATTGATTAATTGGTACATATTGAGTTTTGGGGTTAGATTTTATTTTGGGACGCAGCTCGTCCCATTCAATTAGCCCCTCACCGATGAGTCTGTATTTGCTCCTTTTCTGTCCATATTTGGCGATTTAATATCATTCTATCTTTGTCAGAAGTCAACATAACATGTGAAATCACTCGTCCATATTATGTAGATAACATGTCAAATCTCTTCTTTGTTCTGGACGTGTAGAGATTTAAGTTCTTACTCGCTAATTTTTCCTCTCCTCTTAACAAAGCTTATAATTTATCCCCGTTAGTTTTGGAAATCTCTCGTCAAATTTCAATATTTCCAGAAGTATCTCATACTGTACCTAAACCTCTGAAGGTGAAAGCAAACGTGTCGTTATCTTCAGGATTCTATCTTATCTTGGAATATCATCCATAACTATGTTACTATTTCTCTTCTCAATTAGGTCCCTGCCAGGTCCCATATCTACACTATACAGAGTATTTACAGGTATTTAATAGGGCCAATATAGCGTAACTTTGCAATGCAGTAGTTCCATAAGTTTAGTTAATTATATTTCTTAGTTGATTTGTTTTACAGCTCACAATGTTATCAAGACGACAAGCGTGAAACTGGCTGGAGAGGGTTCGTAGTCCCCCCCACGCATAGCAAACCTGTGTTTCATTTGTTACTGTTCTGGGAAATCATATACAGGGGACATCCTCATATATCATGTTGTTTTCTGGATCACGTGACCAGTAAGCCAATCACGTGCAGGTAACTTCATGTGGAGTGTATGTCTCACTTCTATACATTGCAACTGTTGTTATCAGGCCTGTAGATTGTAGAATGCAATTTATGTGTTCTTTTGATCGGAGTTGTGGTGGAATTGACTTTTGAGTAAGTTAATAAGCGTAGGCAATCTTTTCTTGCAGTTTTATGTCCTTGTAGTCAACATTTTATTGCAAAATTGTGCGGAATTGCTATCAGCTGTTCGATTTTTAAAAACCCACTTTGAATCAAAAACATATTATTTTTCACATTTTAATGAGAGTTTGCAAAGATCGAAAAAAGTGAGTTACTTAAATCACGAGGACGAGCATTTCCGACAACTAAAGGGGGTGTGGGAAGAGAAATGTATTGTTTTTGTATATTAGAGCTTTAGCCACAGGTAGGTTGGTCTACACGGAGTCCCACAGTTTCAATTCCTTGTTTAACTAGCCGTACAGAAAGGATATCCACTGTGCTCACCAGGTTAGGCACATAACCAACACTACCCTGCTTAAGCTATATACTATGGTTTCTAGAAAGTATTTCCTTGTATTTGACTTTCGTCAAGAAAGTACTCGTACTTTCGGTTCAGATGTTATATAAGCTAGCCTTTATGTAGTCAAAAGCTATGTTTCACTTCAGCCCTATTTCCCACGACGGTTTAAGGGTCCTTCACATATTATTACGCAATTACTGAGGGGGGAAAATGGGTTTTCTAAAAGATTACGCTAGTGAAATGTTAAGTTTTAATACAATAGCTACTTTAGCTACTTTAGCTTGTTACATTTATATAACTATGAGCTGGTCCCAAGTCCAGACGCCATTTTATTCTTTGTAATTTTCAATAACCCTGTCTAGTCATTGACTACTGATAACAACTATCCACAAAATAATTACAATATAATATATTATTTGTAATTTGCAATTGTAATATATTTAGGGGTCATTTGCCATCATTCACAGAAAGATAACGCAGTTATTGCTTCACAATGTTATTAATTTACAATCGCCGCGATCTCAGAATTTCTTTCCTTTCATACACATAAAATGTAGCTTGTAGCCAACCAATCTTTAATTTCCTGGTTGTTCTCTCCAAATTTGTAGATGAGTAGAGCTTTGAACGCAAATTACAAATTTTGTGATGTCTTAGTCCGGGAAATGCCGCATACATTCCTCACAAGACTCTGAGAAATGTAGCAGCTTCCAGAGAACGCGTTACTCTTGCGATTTAGCAGTGCATCGTCTCATCTTAATTAGCACTGTAACATAGTTCTAAGTTTTACTTTCTAAACTGTTGAAAGATATTCGCTTGTGCGTTATTTTAAGGTAGTTTTTTAATCTATCTGGTTTGTTTTATCTCCCCGGTAACTTAGAGGTCTTGTATAACTTCATTCAGCAAATCTTATAGCTGTATTTTTAATGTATGCTAGGAATAAACAGTCTCCTTACACAGGAGCAAGTGTTACAGGTGCAAGTGTTAACTTGATCCTACAACTAGATTTATTAACAAAGAACGTTTTTGAAGATTAGTCCACAAAATGACTCTCATTTTAACTTAAGTTGAGTTTTGTGCAGACCACATGAGATCGCGGTTGTGGTAGGGAGGATCCGTTGTAATAACTGCTAAAATAGTTCATGCTCTCTCAAATCATTACTAACTGGTATTTATTTATACTTTTTCTTAATGACATTACAGAGGATTTGTCACCGGAAACAAATATAACCATGTATGCTGATGATACAAAAATATGGCGTAGAATCACGTCCCAGGATGACCATTGGCTGCTCCAGCGGGATATTAACAGTCTTCAAAATTGGGCTCATCATAATAAGATGGTGTTTCACCCTTCAAAAAGTCACGTTCTTTCTATTACCCGAGCATATTCTATGAATCGTAGTGTTAGGGCCTGTCGTGATATCATGGATCGCTTAGGTTCCACCAGGATCTGGTAGTCCTCATAATTCTGCGGCCTCTATGTATCGTCATCTCGTACAACTCTTTAAGAATCTTAGGGATTTGGCATGTGAAAATTTGCAGCCTTCCAGACATTGATTGGGTTAACGAGGTGTCGTACGTCACCTCAAGATCGGGTGACAGGGGGCTGACCAGGCCAGAACCCAATTGATTGGGTCTGAGGTCACGTGATTATGAGCCTGAGGTCACGTGACTATGACGTCATCAGACCTTGTTCTCCGTTTCCCGCTCATTGGACCAGGTGAGCTTGCATGCTTGCGAATGTGGGTGTAAGTACAGCTGTACTGTAGTTTATACCTAATTAACCCCTATAGAAACCGAAAATTTATTTTCTGGCAGAAAGCTAGAAATTTACCAAAATATCGACATTGTTATCAATTTATTTTGATGACCATTCCTGACCTAAAATTGCACGAGAAATCGATTAAACTTGGTTTCAGGACTCAACAATGCTTCTTTATGCCTTAAAATCCATGTTTTATCGATAAAATCAACATTATGATCCCGTTGATTAATTAGTAACAGGTACCTAACAAATACGCAGAAACAACCATCACACCTACATTGCATTCCTAACGGGTCGATTTCAAGTGACCAATAATCGTCGTGATGATACGTCATGTGTTCCTGATCATCATCAGCAATCAAGAGACAAGAGCGGCGGTAGCTTTAAATCAATGGTTTACGTTATTTTTGTGAATTCGACCCCTGTTGAAACAGTTATCTCACTTTGTAACTGCATATGTATCGAGGATAGCTTTACAAATAAGAGTATCAGTAAATAAAATTGCCACAAGTGTTTCTTTCACTCACTTTCGATAAGACACATTGGAAATTCTTACTTCCATAAGGAAATTATTGTGTTCGATTAACCGTTCAAAGGTTGATAAGTGTGATTAAATTTTATAAAATTCCGATATACTTCGGCGTTTAAAAAAATTCCGAATCTTATGGAAGTAAGAATTTCCAATGTGTCTTATCGAAAGTGAGTGAAAGAAACACTTGTGGCAATTTTATTTACTGATACTCTTATTTGTAAAGCTATCCTCGATACATACCTTAATTCCCAAAAATTTGGGCGCCAAAAAATTTGAGCGGGCCTCTCGCCCAAATTTTTTGCAGACCAAATTAATTGCATAAATCTTTTCCGTCTGCTAAATTTTTTGCTAACCAAACTTTTGGCATTTGGCCTGTGGCCCTGAAATCTATAGAAAGATGGCTTTTTCTTCATATCCAAGTGAAATAATATTTGAAATTTGAGTTTTCAGTAGCGCTTTCTG